GAGAGATCATTACCAATTCAGATCTCACAAACTGGTCAGCCCTGAGTATTCATACCGAGGTGGGTTCAGCCTCCCTTCATAGTGCTCCAAAACCTGACAGAATGTTCCCTTTGCTTAACAAAACAATCTTACAAACACATCTTCTGAAGTTACGCAGGACCCAGGTTTGCACATGTGGTTGTATTGGACACTAGTCAAAATCCTGTTTGCTTTCACAAACAATTATTTAGGGCTTCCTAGGTGGCAAGCATTGTTTAAAGTTGTTTGAAAATAATTAAAGTCAATACTTCTAACCACCCATATGAATCCCTTTGGTTGAGTTTGAATAACCCCTGTGTTCCACAAATTAGCTGCGGCTCTGCAGGGATAATCTGGAATTTGGATTTAGCTGAGTTCACCCTGCCCACCCTCTGCCCTTGGGTTAGTTTTCTATAGGTAAGAAAGAAAGGTTCTGGCCTCCCAATACCCCTACGTCAGGCCCCAAGCAGGGCCCCAGAGCCAGTGGAGTGCAGAGGGGCCTGGTACCGGAGGAGGCTGGATATGGCTGCAATGAGGGCATTCAGGCTGATTCCACTGTCCGCCACGGCCAAACTCAGCAGCAGCAGGTGGTTGGGAGTCCGCAGCTCCGGGGTCTTGCAGAAAGAGAAGATGGTCAGGCCATTGAGGCTGAGACCAGAGAGAGCTGAAAGGAAGGGCAGGGGCTGGCATCTGGGCTAGAGAGGCCCACCTTGGGTCAGAACCAGGGTCCAGAGGTGGATGGACCTTCAGCAACTTTCCCCCTTTATGCTCAGCAGTTCTCTCGGTGCAGTTCATCAAATTCTCCTGAGGCAGACTGACCCTCAAACACCGAAAGCCATAAGTCTCATGCCCTCCCCTCTACCAACACAGCCCCATGGGAAGACAGATAAAGAAGATGGTCCAGTACAGCATGGTTCCTGCTAGAACATTCACAACCTCCGACAAGCACTGAGCACCTAGGAGGTGCCAGGCACCTGCATAAGCATGTCATTCAGACTTCTCTTGCATACTCTCCTATCCACTTACGGTTAAGAAATAGCCTTAGAGATGCTAGCTATCATCCCTCAGTACACAGTTAGCTAGGACTCCAACTTGAGTCTTTCAGATTCCAAAATGCCTCCCCCAAGGTCGGTGGAGCAACATCAGGGAGAATCTTGGAGAGGAGGAGCTGACGTTAGAGCCGGGAGCTGCACCCAGAACATTAGTCAGTGAGGTGAACTTGAGGTGTTTTCTGAGAGCAGAGAGATCTGGCCTTGAATGGCAGCTTGTCTACTTCCTTGCTATCCCTTGAAATTTCTAAACCTCACCTTCTTCCCCTGTCCACATCGAGGAACAGAGAAAGATCCTGACTTGAAAACGGTGGGAGCATTTACCCAAAGGATGGTGCATGAAAGAACATTCCAGAATGAGGGAGCAGCACATGCAAAGACATAAAGGGTAAAATTTGCAAGCATGTTTGAGGTCATAGAGGAAGGCTAGAATGTAGCATTCCTAGAAAAAAAGGGAAATGAAATGGGGCCACCAGACAATAGTATTCAGAGTCTCTAGGACCAGTTTTATGTCACTTCCTCTCCACTGTCACTTCTCACTGGGTGAGAAAATGTGCTGCTTGCCTCTCTGGATGTGCTTTGAACATGGACTGTATACCCTGTCAGCCTAGTTCTAGGGTGAACCCAATCTCTAGCTCTGGCCCCACTGAGTATTTTAAGGATTCTGAGTGAAGGTAGGCTTCCGAAGGACCCAGGTGGTCCCTAGGTGGGACATACCGAGGGCTGTGGGAGGAGACATGGTAGAAGGAATGGTGGGCAGGAGTGGACAGAAGTTAATGAACTCCCTGGTGCCTTCCCTGGGTTTCTGTCTAAACAAACATTTCATACTTTGACCCCATTTAACCTTCACAACCACCCATTTGGAATGTCAAGGCACTGAGATTCAGAGAGCTGAAGTGACTTGGGTAGCAGTGACATAGACAGCAGGTGGCGGAGCTATCTGTCTCAGAGTCTTCTTGGAGGCTAATTTTTCATGGGATTCTTAGCAGGATTTCCAGGGACTGGATTAAATTTTCTCCTGCCTGGAAGGACATAAAGTCTGAAGGTTGGTTCTTGGTCATCTCTGGGTATATATACACCCCTGACACTGCTGCAAAGTCTGTCCCTTCCTGATCCCTACCTGGCTTTTTCTCTTGACTCCTCGCCGGTGCTCTGCATTCTACAGGGAAGCCACCAGGAGACCTTGTAGGTCTAGGCACATAGGAATAAGCAATCAGGATGACATGACAACTCAGTTAGGTTAGGGGAACTCTTCGTGCCAGCACCATAGCTGTGACTGGGTTTTGAGATCCTGCTGGGCCCCTGCTCCACCCCAGGTCCTGCCTGGCTCACCTTCCACCAGCAGCACCGTCCCCACAGCTAGCACCTCCAGTTCCCCGAAGCCTGCGGGCAGGGCTGCAGTCTCTGCCATCCTTGCTCTTTTTCTGGCTCCCCAAAGCCATGCCCCTCCCTTTTAAAGGACCGTTCCCCGTGCTGGCACATGCAGGTTATTATGCTAGACCTTGAACTCCTTCTTTCTGCCTCCCCTGTCTAATTCGTCTAATTCGTCCTCTTGGCCCAAGCAAAAGAAAACCATTCACCAGCTGGACAGTGCAGCCTTTGTTAAGCCAGAATGGGGCCCTGTCTCATTCATTTCAGCCCTGCTGGGCAGGATTAAGGTCTGGGAATCCAAATGGTGTATGGCTGAGAGCTGAATTGGAAAGAAGTTGCATAATCAAGGGAGGGGAGTGGAAGGAGGGATTGGAGCCGCAGCTGTTCCTGAGAATCGGATAGGAGCCAGGCTTTTCTGTGTTCATCATTGCTGACAATCTGAGTTCCTGTGTGTTTGTATGTGTGCATGCATGCGTGTATGTCCACAGGATCACGTGCCTGTAGAAAGGTTGAGGTTTGAAAGTCACCTGCTATCATAGAAAGAACCTCTTTTGGGACTGGAGCCTGGGTTCTGGCTCTGAATCTTCCGCTAGTTGTATTCCCTGAAGTGGGACCAATAGTGTCTTCTCAATTTCCTCCTTTGCAGTGTAAGCATCTTTTGTCCATGGCCTGTCCTAATTCCTTAGTAGAAGAGCACATCATAGATGTAGATTTCAGGGTTGCATTTCTTGTCATACAGTCTTTGAGCTACAAAAGCACAAAAAAAACCTAGCAGGTCTCTGGTTTGGAATGATGAGCTGCTGTCTTTTTGTAAGTGCTCCCATGACTCACTGAGAGATTGGGCTTCTAACAAATGAGGTTCTTAGTACAAGTTATGTAATAGCTCATGGTGACATTTACATCAGGAAACATCGATCTAGTGCAACCTAACTCATTTTCAGATAATAGTAATACAGCTAATGTTTATTGAGGTCAGCCACCATAGTAAAGAATCTTCTGATGATTCCTTAAAAAAAAAAAAAACTCTCCATGAATTCGATACTATTATCTTTTCTATTTCAGATGAGGGAACTGAAGCCAACAGCAGTTAATAATCAGCCGGAGGTCATGCTGTGATTTGAGAATGAAACTGGAACAAAAGCCCGATCTCCTATTCATGTAGTTCAGGGACTTTTCATTGATATCATCTGATTTCCTTTGGCCACACAACTCATCTTGTCCTGAGAATGTCCATGTCCTAGACTTTTCCTTTCATGAGTCCCCACTGCTGTCTGAGCCTTATCACCCCTCAAGGCTGAGCTCGAGGTCACGTCCTCTAGAGTCTTCCCTGCTCTGTCTAAACTTCTTGCTATTCAACCCTTATGTCCCTCTTCTTTCTATATCTGCAAGATCTCAAGTAACTTCATGAGAGAAAATAAAGAAGCATGAGGCTGGGGATAATGGATAGAGTTCTGCCAGATAAGAGACGGAAGGAAGGCATCCCAGACACAAAAAGGGAAGGACGGAGAAGAAACAATAGGCGGGGCTGGTCTTTTGGTCTGGGGAGGACCCAGGTAGGGCATGCTGACCAAAGAGCAAAAACACCCTTATGTTTGGAGTCAAACATGAAGAATGAGTGAATGAATCACCAATGTGTCTACTACTTGGAATCACCCATGGCTTGGTCCCCATTGGCATCTTAAATAGATTTGTTAAGATGAAGTTAGGGGAAGGGAAAACAGATAAAAGAGAATGTGCGTTCTCCAAAAACTCTGTGAGATGCTGTTCTGGGCCCCTCCTGAGAGTATGGTGCTTTGAGTAGAGGGGAGAGATCTTTCCTCTTATCTCTTGCCTTTGGCATGGGTGGTAATGTCCAGGAGAGCCCAGCTAAGCCGACAATGTTCTGAGCATCCATTGGGCTCTCATGGGAAGCAGCTATTTGCCCAACAGTCTGCCACAGTTCCTGAGGCCGTGGAAGACATCTGAGGTCTTCCTAAAATATTGGTCTTTCCAGCTCCTTCTTGAACAGGTGCCAGAAAAACTTCACATTTACTACGTGTGAGAGAACTTTTGTAACCCAGGAACTTTTGTTACCTGGGAAACTTGGATTGTTGAATTTGGGTGGATTAACTTGACTTACTTTTGTCTGTTGTGAACACAGAAACCAAGAGAGATGATGTATCTCACCCAAAGTCACGGCCTTTAAATGGAAGAGTTAGGATTTGAACCTGGAGAGCCTTGTCCCTGAGCTCCATCCAGCTCTTTTTAATGCCTCATCACCTCCAGGGAGGCCAGAGTTCTCTGTCCATCTTCTCTGAGCTCATGTACCTCGGGGAGGTCTGTGTTACCCACAGCCTGATTGGCATAGGGAACTTTACAGGTGACCAACCTCATAGTTGCTTGCTTCTGGCAGCTGCTCACCTGCCTTGCCTTGCTGTGCCCCCACCTGTCTGGGCGGGTGCTATAGAAAGGATTCTCCTCCCCTCCCCTCAGGTCTGAACGATTCAGGAAGCAGTAAGCTGCTGAGCGCTCTGGCTGGGGCCCCCTCCCTAATCCCCGGACTGTCTGTGTTTATCCGATGGCCTGGGGTTGGGAGGAGAGGATGAGCAAGTGGGAAGCTGCTGGGCTGGCTGGCCCCTGGCCGGCCTCCTCAGAGAGGAGCCAGGAGTCATGTGGGTGGCAGTGGGCATGCTCTGGATCCTGGCCCTTGGGGGGTCCCACCAGGCCCGGGGCTCTTGTCCCTCTCAGTGCACCTGCGGCCTCCACATCCTGGGTGATGGCAGCAAGGCCAGGTACGGCACCAGGGGTACGGGATGGTGGCTCTCCCTCATAACTTTACCAGTTAGACTGGGTGGGGAGGGGTTGGATTCCAGCAGCTGTCCCCTTGCTTGACAGTCCCACACATCCCCACCTGAGGCCCCTGGATAATCATGGGTATGCAGGATGCGGGATTTTCAAATCATGACTAGGTGAGACCCCCATGTCCCTGGCCCCTGAAACCCAAAAGTCCTATGGGGGTGGTCTGCAATGTATTTTCTTCCAGTAAGTAGGGGGTTTGCTCTGTCCACAGGTACTCAGTATGCTTACAAGTGGGGGTGGGGTGGGGACAAGTGTGCTGGTTTCAGAAACTCCCTCCTGAGCCTTCCTTTAGGCTCCTGGTGGAGCCTGAAGGAGCTCTTTAAAGGCCCAGGAAGTTTCCTCCTTACCTCTTTTTTGTCCTCTCCTGCTACCTCCCATCCCATCTTTCTGTCTGTATCTCCAAGCCCCATCTTTCCAAGCCTCTTCTATTCTTGTGCCTAATCTCCCTGGAATAACCAGTCACATCCAAGTGCTTCTTGTCACTCTACCCATGAAGGGACCACCTGCCTCTTCATGCTCTTCCCACTTCGGGTCTCCTCTGGCAGTCCCTAAGAGATCAGGCTTGACCCCTTTCTATGGAGAGTCAGAAGTATTATAAGTGTCCATTCCATTGCAAGCTTGCTCCCTCCATCTCTTGCTTCTGGCAGCTGCTCAGCCTGCATCAGCCTCTTCCTTGACTTTCCCCCATCCTCCCTCTGGTCCCTTAGAACACCCCCATTCTCTCTGTCTCCTTTCCATGGCACCTTCCCAAGTCTACTCTGGTTTGTGGACCCTTGCTTTTCCTCTAGAGCTTGTTTTTTTTTTTTAATTTTTTTTTAGTTGCAGATGGGCACAATATCTTTATTTATTTACTTATTTGTTTTTATGTGGTGCTGAGGGTCAAACCCAGGGTCTCATACCTGCGAGGCAAGTGCTCTGCCGCTGAGCTACAGCCCCAGCCCTGAGCTCATTTTTGTCTTCTCTCCAGCAGTCTTTATACCATCTTTTCTCCAATTTCCTCGGCTTATCCATTAATGACCTGTGAATTTTCTAACTTAAGGATTTCAGCGTCTGGCTTATGGCCTTTGTGATGAACTTTATAACCTTATGGAATTCCATCCTCCTTTCCCCCCTTGTCTTAGATGGGCACTAGGGAGCCACTGGTGGTGATCAGAAAACAATATTATTACAGTTATCCTTTCAGGCAATGGGCATCATGTTGCCTGGGGTTGAGGGGTGGCAGAGAATGGAGAGGCACCCCCCCCAAAAAAAGGACATCCTGTATGATCTGAGGAATAGGAAAATTTCCACTTTCTGCATAAGTGTCTGATGCTGTGACTCACATGGAAGGTAAGCTTCCTTTCACTAAAGAAGACTTAGACCTGAGCAGGCTGGGAAATAGCCCATGGCCAAGGACAGTGTGATCAGAGTGACAAGAAACCTCCTTTACCACTCACAGGGAGCACAGGCCTCAAAGTCCCAGAGCTTCAGTGATGGGATTGGTCCCAGAACCTAGGACTTCTGATTCTATTTCCAGAACTCTTCTTGTCTGGGTTTCTGCCATGAATAAGATGAGAACTACAGACAACAGAGTTAGACTTTGGATGGAAACTAAAATGACAAGAGCAATTTCTAGGGGTCCTAATGTCAACCAGTGGTCATGCTCTCCTGAAGCCAGAGCTCTTACAGTTGGTTCTACCTGCCTGACAGTAGTAGCACTGATGTGTGCCCATGCATTTATATGGAATGTCTTATGAGAGGAATGAGGCCATAAAGGGCTGCAGAGGCCCCCCGAGATCCTCAATGCCCAGAGGCACAGATTGGGCACTTAGACCAAGGCTCCTTCAGCCCCATAGATGCCTTCTTCAGACCCACCTCTACCAGGGTCTCTCAGAGAGCCCTCCCCTGGCAACCTGCCCTGATCCACACTCTTGAATTGTGAGCAAAGTGTATGTCCCTGCAGATATGGGGGTTTCTAGGATGCCCCATCTGGGTACCTGGACAGATGTGTCTTATGCTTTTTGTGCCCAGGTTGTCCTATCAAAAGTTGTGCTGTTGGCTTGTGTTGGGCTCTTATTGGGGTCCTTTAAGGCTCCTTTCACCATTTTCTCCCCCATTCAGGACATGTTTTCCTAGCCATCCTTTTCCTCCCACTTACATCCAGACCTTCCTCCTTGCTATCACCTCAACCTGTATTATTACCTGAAAATATTATGGCCTTCAATGCTCTCTTTCCCTTAAATAGACTATAAGCTGCAGAGGACAGGGACTTTGACTTTGATTCTCTTCTGAATGGCCCATCACTTAGTAGGGGTTCCAATCTTTCTTTGAGGAATATGAGTGGAAATACCTTCTGTGATGCCATTTACAAGAGAAAACAAGCCAAGTTGGGCCATTTTTTTAGTATCATGTATATGTTAAGATGGTAGACACTTAGGAAGGCCTGATTTGGACAATGCATGATGGCAATCATTAAAAGAAAATAACTTCTTTTAGCAAAGCAAAACATGACACCTTTCTCATAGTGCTTGCAGAGCAGTGCTTGGGATGAAACTGGCTCTATACAAGGATTGGGTCCCTGATGACCAGCCTCCACATTTTACTGTCTTTTTGAGAATCGCTCCCTTTTCAGCTTACCTTATGTGAGTGTGCTACTCTCATTGATGGTATAAAACACAATCCCTGAATTGTAGGTTACTTGAGGTCAGGGATTGCTTCCTGTTCTCTCTTTATCTTCAGCTTTAGATTCAAACTAAGAAGGACTAGGAAGTCACTGTTGGCGCAGGAGTATTGAAAGTTGTAAGACTGCCCTGCTCTACCTGCAGTGCTCAGATGCAGATACAGTAATCAATATCATGAGTACAGGGTGATAGGCAGCATGCTGAATTTGTGTGTTATCTCACTTAACACTATAACTACACTATGAGGTAGACTTTACTATGGGGAAACGGGGGGAGGGGGTGGGTGGGTGGATGGGTATTATTTGATGTACTTAAGGATACACAGCCAGCAAGCAGAGAGCCCAAATGTGAATCCAATGGTGGGGCTGCCACATCCCAGCTCTCAGACTGAATTTTGATCATCTCACGGCCCCTGAAGCACTTCCAGTTTTTGATGCCGTTGGCATATTTAAAAAAAAAATATGTAAGCCCACACTAAAAAGCCAAAACAGTTATAAAAATTGAGGTTTAACTTAACAGATGAACACATTTAACATATATATTATATATATATGCAATGATCACAGGATTTATTAATGCTGTTCTTTCTTAGTGCAAGGTGGGTGCTGGGGCTGTAACAGGACATAGTTAAGTAGGAAGTCTTTCAGGCCAGTGAAGACCAAATGGCTCTCCTGGGACCCTTATGAAAGGCTCTGCTCTCCAATCAAGAGCACCTCAAAGGGAAAATGCGAGGCTGCTTGTTCTAGGATCCCTTCTCCAGAGCCTGACCTAGTTTGGACCCTGAAATTGGTGCCCTGTGTTAACAAGCAGATCCGGAGGCTAAGGGAAGGGAGTTATCCCTGAATTGATAGGACCCTTGCTCAAATATCCCCCACTTCTGTGACCAGGGCCGTGGTGTGCAGTGATCCCGACATGACCCTGCCCCCAGCGTCTATTCCTCCGGACACCTGCAGACTGCGCGTGGAGAGGACCGCCATACGCAGAGTTCCTGGAGAGGCCTTCAGGGCATTGGGCCGCCTGGAGCAGCTGTGGTTGCCCTACAACGCCCTCGCAGAGCTCAGTGTCCTCATGCTGCGGGGACTGCGACGCCTGCGCGAACTGCGGCTGCCAGGGAACCGCCTGGCCGCCTTCCCCTGGGCCGCACTCAGGGACGCCCCCCAGCTGCGGCTGCTGGACTTGCAGGCCAACCGCCTCTCGGTCTTGCCGCCCGAGGCCGCCCGCTTCCTGGGAAATCTGACCTTCCTGGACCTCTCTAGCAATCAGCTGATGAGGCTCCCGCAGGAGCTGCTGCTCACCTGGGCTCAACTGAAGTCTGGGCCCTTTCTTCCTGGTCACCACGCCAGGCTTGTCCTAGGTAAGAGATGGCACCACCCTGCTGAGCCTGGGGGTCTTGGGCAAGATACCAGACTTCTGTGAATCTGGATTCTCTGTCTGAAAATATAATTCGTATCTACCTTCTACGTTCAAGTGAAGATGGATTAAGATATACAAGAGTCCCAGGCTTAGGAGCTCAAGCTCCAGGCTAGACTACAGCAGTTCAAATTCCATTGCTATAAATAAGGAAACCTAGATGTATGGAATCTCCCAGTTCTTATACCCAGCTTGTGGCCTCCTGAGACTTAGTTTCCCAGCGCAAGGGGCTAGGTTGAATGGGTTGACACAATATACTGGCTAGTTCCTCAGTATGCTCTATTCCTTCCCTTTTCTGTCTAAGGCACCTGCCTGATTCCCAGGAGAAAGGTATGGCATAACTGGAAAATCGATTTGGATTATCTAACTCATATGTGAATATATGTAAATATTAAAAACATAACAGAAAAGGCTAGAGACCCATTTGCCCAGCTTCTTCTTCTGATCTCCTTTGCCTTTCCCAGATAGCTGCTATTATCATGTTTATTTGTTTATTTGCAAGTTCCTTTTTACAATTCATTTGCATATGCATATAAATATATACAAACATGCCAAAATAAAAATTATGTGAGTGCTTTATAACAGTTTTTATTATATATACTAATGAATACTATTTTTTTTCATCCAACAATCTCTCTTGGAGATCTTTTGGTATTATTACAAATGGGAATAAATTCATTTTTGAAAGCTACTGCATATTCTATAATATAGGGGTTTTTTGGAGGAAGGGTACTGGGGTTTGAACTCAGGGACACTCAACCACTGAGCCACATCCCCAGCCCTATCTTGTATTTTATGTAGAGACAGGGTCTCACTGAGTTGCTTAGTGCCTCACTGTTGCTGAAGTTGGCTTTGAACTTCTGGGATTATAGGCATGTGCTACCGTGCCCGGATTGTAATATAATTTTGCTATAGTTTATGTGGCCATTTCCCATTCAGTGGACCTTTAGATTGTTTCCATATTTTGTTAACACCTACTATGCCACTGAGAATGTTCTGGGCAGTACATTCTGATGTGTGTGTACATCTGTTTCTGAGGATAGGTGCTCAGAATTAGAATTCCTAGGTCATGCAGTGTGCCCATTAAACATTTTGGAGTCAATCTGATAACTTGTGAAGTGGCCAGTAATGTTCTCATTCCTCACTAGTAGTGCTTGAGACCACCCATTCACATGGTCATTTAGTAAATATATTTGAGTTCTTTCCAATTCTAGATGCGGGGATATAGCAGTGAATCACAGAGACAGAAAATGTAATCCTTCATGGAATTAACAGTTAAAATGGCCAAAATATTAAACTTTTTCCAATCTGATAGGTGAAAGTTTCACTGTTGTTTAACTTTGTCTTTTATATTAATTCCTTGGGACCCTTTTGTAACAGGCGAAAACCAGATTAACTCATTATGAGTGCTAGAACAGTGATGAACCTTGAATTACTAGTGAATCAAAAAACACACTTAAGCAGTGACACAAGGCAGCAGCCACTGTGGGAGGGAGAGGGGGAAGGGGGAGAAAAGAGTGACATCTTCAGCTAGTGCTCATAGGGACCTGAAAGTCATGGATGTGCAATCAGGTCTGATTTGACATGTTCCTTTCCAAATATATAAACTGTAGGGACACAATGGTATGATATATTAGAATTATTAAACTCACTATCAAATCTAATATCAATCTTTGGGGGAGTGAAAAAGATATTATATTAAATGCCTTCATCTTGTATTTCAGAAATGCAGGCATATAAAAAGGAATTGTGCCTTAGACTTGAAGACACATGGTACCCCTTTTTGACCAAGTGTGCAAAGACTTGCTTTCGGTTCTTTCAAAATGTTCAACAAGGAGTAAAGAGGAATGGGGACATCTCATAGGGTTTGATTTTAAGCCTTCTTACCCCACGTTTTACTTCTTCTGAGCCTACCTCAAAGAGACCCATTGTTCAGAGCAGCCATTCTTATTGCTGGGTTGATGCTAAAAGTGCCACTCACACTGAAAAGACTAGGATCAAAGGTCAGGAGTCAGTGAGTAGTTTTAGGAATGATTTGAGGATACTGTAATTATTGAAAAAATGTCTTCCTTGCCAGTGACTTGAAAAGATTAGTGTAAGAATGACAGAAATAGTTGGCAATTTTGTCAGTGTGCTGTATGGCCTACCTAGCACTTGATGATATATCTTTATTTATGTTTATACCAACCTTAAAGGGAAATCATGCTATCATTTAAGATGAAAAACCAGGTGTATACAGCTAGCAAGGTATACAGGTATATAGCTAGCAAGGCTAAGAGCTGGAAGTCAGTTCTGTTGACTCTGACCTGAGGACCTGCTTCATCCTCTCTGAAGGGAAAGGGAGCTGGGCCTGGGCACCTGAGTATCTAGGGCTCACCTCTTGCCTTCTCTCTCACTGCTACAGGGCTGCAGGACAACCCTTGGGTTTGTGACTGCCAACTCTATGACCTGGTCCATCTCCTGGATGGTTGGATCCCAAACTTGGTCTTCATCGAGGCCAAACTGAGGTGTGACACCCCACGTAATCTGGCTGGAGTGGCCTTTAGCCAGCTGGAGTTGAGGAAGTGCAAGGGCCCAGAGCTCCGTCCAGGGGTGACCAGCATCAAGTCCCCTTTGGGAAGTGCAGTATTGCTGCGTTGTGGAGCCACTGGGGTCCCTGGACCTGAGATGAGCTGGAGGAGAGCCAACGGGCACCCACCCAATGGCACAGGTATGTGAGCTGTGGGGATTCTTGTGCTGAGCACCTGAACTGGAGTGAGTGGATCAACATCCCAAACAGAGAGTGGGCAGGGTCAGGGGAAAGTAATCTAAGCTAGGTTGGGCCCCCATATCTCCAATGGAGTTAGATAAGATCTTCCCAGAAACAGTATGGGGACATTGGATTTAATGATGACAACAGCTCTTGAAATGTCCTGTTATATATCCTATCAGCTACTGTTATAGAGACTTGAGGATTTTATTGGGAGGAATAAAAGGCTGGATTTTCGGCAGAACTTAGTGTATTAAATACTTATAGTAAGTTTTACAGTTGAAATATTAAACCAGGAATAATGATATGGATTGCTATCTATTGAGCTCCTCATGTGGGGTTATCACTGTGCTAAGTGAATTATGCCCATAGTGTTGTTGAATTTTAAAGAGCAACTGATATCCTTATTTTTCATACAAGTGCATGCAGGCTCTGAGAAGCTAAATGCTTGGCCTACATCACACAGCCCTATAAGAAGGAGCTGGGATTCCAATATAGTCAAGGTGACTTCACAGTGTATACTATTTTGGCTAGGCTGAATAAGCAGAAATGACTCCTCTTTGTCACGGTGGTAGCAAGGATGGGGGTCAACGGTGGGAGTCACAGCTGTCCACAGAACAGAGAGGGGATTAAGGAGAAATGACTTCTTAGCAGCTAATCAGAAAATTTTGCAACCCTCCCCTAGCTTTCTTCTATGTCTCCCTCAACTAGATTGGTAAGCATGGCTCTAGAAGAGTGGGTTTGGATTAAACTTAAAAAACAAAATGGTACAACAGGTTCCACAATGTAAAACAGAAAGGTGAAGATGATCCAACTGAAGCAGCCATGGAGGTGAACAGGGTGGCAGGGCACTTTCCAGGTGGCTCTCTGCCTCATGATTACTCCCTGACTGCCACCCTGCAACGTACTTGCCTACATACTTGCATCACCTCTGCAAAAACTTCACAGAGCATCTCAGATTTGAACATCTCAGATTTAGAAGGCAGTTTATTCCTAGGCTCTGCTTCAACCTGGAGTTCTAGGGACTCACCCAGATTTGAGCCTAGGTAATCCTGATCTTGGTTCCTCTCAGCCAAGGTTATACGGCTACAAGGCAAGAAACTGGGCCTTGAGTGACCCAGTGAGCTGGCCTTTGAATAACTTGAAAGTTGAATGCCTGCCAGCAATTTCTCAGGATGACAGGATATTTAGTACAGCATGTGTAGCCCAGGGGCTGTGAACTTGGATCTGGGAGGAAGTGAGGGGCAGAGGGGCCCATTCATTTTTCTCAAATGTGTTTCTTCTTCCCCCAGTGCACCAGGAAGTCTCCAGTGATGGTGTAAGCTGGACTCTGTTGGACTTGCCTGCAGTGTCTAACCTGGACTCTGGAGATTACATCTGCCAGGCCAAGAACTTCCTGGGAGCCTCAGAGACTCTTATCTCCCTTATTGTCACAGAGCCTCCGACATCCACAGAACACACTGGGATCCCAGGGGCACTGTGGGCAAGGACAGGGGAAGGGGCGGAAGCTGCTGCTTACAACAACAAGCTGGTGACCCGGCATGTCTCGCATATTCCTGAGCCTGCTGTCCTGGCCATTGGGACCTCTATGCCCAGCCTGAAGGAGAAATTGGCCCTCCAGCACTTCCAGATGGGTGCCTCAGGAGAGCTCTGGGAAGGGCAGGTTGAACCCCAGGAGGCACGGATGGTGAAGTCTCTCAAAGTGGTGGGGGACAGTTACCACAGAGTGTCCTTGGTATGGAAGGCCCCCCAGGCTGGGAACACCACTTCCTTCAGTGTCCTTTACACCGTCTTTGGGCAGCATGATATGCATAGATTGATCGTGCCCCCGGGGAAGACCAGTGTCACCATTGACGGACTGGCACCCAAGACCAAGTACGTGGCATGTGTCTGTGTGCGGGGCCTGGTGCCCCGGAAGGAGCAATGCCTCATCTTCTCCACCGACCAGATGGTGGACGCTGAGGGCACCCAGCGGCTCATCAACGTGGTGGTGATCAGCGTGGCTGCCATCATCGCCCTGCCACCCACGCTGCTCGTCTGCTGTGGTGCTCTTCGTAGGCGCTGCCGCAAGTGCCGCACCCGGGGCACCACCGAGGCCACGGGAGCCTATGTCAACCTGGAGAGGCTGGGCCACAGCGACGATGGCTCCGAAGAGCTCTCTCGGCACAGCCTTAGTGAGGCCGACAGGCTCCTTTCCGGCCGGTCCAGCCTAGACTCTCAGGCTTTGGGGACCAGCGGGGGCAGAAGGATGAATGAGTACTTCTGCTGAGGGCAGCTCCCCCTCTCACACCTGCCTATCTGCTTTCCCTTTTCAACTCTTACACACTCACTCTGAAGCCTGACTGCATGCCCAGTCACTCTTACAGCTCGGGTACCTGCTCACTCATATAGTTATGTCAACAACAGCCATGGCAGTTAATTCTTATTAAGCATTTACTGTGTGCCAGGAAGTGTTCTAAATACTCTGTAAGAATTAACTCACTTAAATGTTCTAACAACCGTTTATAGCAGGTGCCACCCTCCTCTCCATTTTCCTGGAGAAGAATTAGGGAAGTTAAGTATTTTGTCTGTATCCACCAGTTTGGGGTATATAACAAATAAAACAAAAACTCAGTGGTGTATGGTAAAAAAACACTCATTTTTACATTCATGGTCTGTATATTGATGGGCATTCTGCTCTGTGTCCCTGATATGGGGCCTGGACTGGAGAGTAATAGTGGCTACCTGGGACAGGCTATTCCCTTGGTAAGGTCAGATGACATCAGAGGAATGAGCAAAGTCATGTGATACCTCTTAAGTTCTTAGTTCAGGATTGGCATACTGCCACTTATGCCCATATTCTATCTGCCAAAGAAGTCTCATGGCCAAACCCAACTTTAACAGGGTAAGTAAGGACACTTCTCCCACAGAGGTGATAGTGGACCAGGAAATATTTGCTGAACATCGATTTAATTTTCTATATTGCCCACGATTACACAACCAGGCTGTGGAAGCTATGGAATTGGACACAGCATTTGGTCTCCACTGGCAACAATCCCTACCAATCTTCTATTCCACATTTTGGTTACATTTATGGTAACTCATAGGGACTCACACATACAGTCACCTGTATGGCTAATGTACAGACACACACACACAAAAAAAACACACACACACACACACACACACATCACTCATCCACACTGTGCTCTAGGCAAAAATTCAGTGAATTCTAACATTTATTCCCTGGGTGTCATTTTTGCCTAGAGACAATCATTTGATTTTCAACAGATTGTGGAGGTTTGGATGATTCCTAAGAGACCACTGCTTATTTGCTCTCAGCATGTCAGGATGGAGAGATCAAAGAGACCCTCTGTGGCAGAGGGCACTTCACACCCAATACTGTCTGGCACTCAGCACTTGCCCCCAGGTCACAACACTTGTGATTCTTACTAAATCTTACTGGGGCTTCTCAAAGTGCCTGGGAGCTTTCCTTCCTTCCAGGCTATTCCAGAGATCTTATTTGGTTTTGCCTGAAGGTGGGAAACCACTCAGATACTGACTCTGTGCATAGGACAATGAGTATGCCCAGGAGAAGGCTTAATTTGTTCCCTGTCTACAGAGTTGGACTCTAGTGAGGGGAGAATGCATGGTGCCTGTTGTCAAGTCTTTGGGGTAACAACTGAGGAAATTTGTGGACAGTAAATGGTCCAAGGAAATTATTTTGTTAGTATCATGCAAGAGACTCCACATAATGTGAACACTCACTAGATAAAAACCAGAGTAATACAATGATTCCTAAAGTCATTTTCCCCTCATATATGCAAAGACCTTATCTCACATTTCGCTCAGTTTTCTTGCATTTGATGCTCACAACAATAGTGGTTGAATTCTTTGATTTTACAGATGAGAAACCTGAGAATTAAAGAGATGAGGGACTTATAGAGCGGAGTGATAGATTCTCTTTTGGACTCCATGTCTTTGACAACCTCTTGACCTAGCTGAGGGTCTTTATTCAGTACTGATCTCTGGAATGTAATCCACAGCAGTTTCACTATAAAAAAGGAATTTTTCTGGAAACCACTGAAACCTGGGATCTGAACCATGAGAACAACTAGGCATATAAGCATGGAGTTTCCATACTTGGGTATTTTTTTGCCATCACTTGCAGTGCGTTTTATTATAACTTGTGAGCTATAGGCATTGGTATGAGAAATTATTTGATTGGACAATGTCCACATTGGGGTCTGCAAGGCTTTTCTGTGAAGTGAACCAGACAGTAAATAGTATAGGCTGTGTTACTCAGCCCTGCTGATGGAATGCAAAAGCAGTTACAGACAATAAGTTGGTTAGTGGGCATTGGTGTGTTCCAATAAAAGTTTATTTATAAAAACAAGTGTCAAACTTGATTTGGTCCACAGGCCGTTGTTTGCCAACCCCTCATCTAGATTTTTATTAGTAGTTTTGCTGTGTCTTTGGAGACTCAAGACTCATTCTGACTGCTTGATACATGAGCATGACAGACACTCCACAAATTAGAATAAAAAGTGCAACAGATGAGGAAGCACCAGGCGAAATGATTAAGATATTGTCTTTAAGTGTCTGTCTAAATCAATCAATATTGAACAATTATTGGCCTAAAGACAACTAATATCTACCCAGTTTTATTGGAAGAAAAAATCAGAAACTGAAAGCAAGATTTGTTCATATAACTAATTAAGAGAGGAAAGGTTTGGATTTTCCAGTGATTAATTAATGCCAGTCTTCATGGTCTGCATGGTCATGGTCTCCAAGATGGTTAGCCTCCCAGTGCTCAGCTGTCAGTCTTCATTTATATGTTCTGTCTTTTCTCATTTGCTCTTGTAGGAAAGAATCATTCTTAATTGTGCTCATGAATGTTTAAGTCACTCAAAAAGGAAAACAACAAATTCCCATGGTAAAAAAAATAAATGGTGTCTGGTTTATGTATTAATCTTTTAGTATATGAGTCTGGTTGCTGTGAGTCAGTCCTTGAAAACTGAACGAACTCTGAATGTCTTGGAAAAAAGTTTCTGGTCTGCCAATGTTAAAGACCAGTCTGAACTATAGTGGTCCTACAGCATGCTTCCCCTGGAAAATGAGTTCAGAGGTTGGTTGGAATCATGGCATCACCATCATGTCTTTTCCTGACTATAATATGGCTATATTCCCCTTGATTAGGCAGAGGGTGTGTCAAATGTCACTTACCTGCAGTTGTCTAAGTTGTAGGACACAAAAATCCAGAAATTGTGTTTTGGAAATTAGTTATGTGCTACCAAAACTAGGTCATCAACCAGGTGGGGTGGCTCACACCTGTAATCTCAGAGACTTGGTAGGCTGGGGCAGGAAGATAGCAAGTTGAAAGCCAACCTCAGCAACTTAGCAAGTCTCTAAACAATTTAGTGAGACTTTGTCTCAAAAAAAATAAATAAAGGGCTGGGATTGTGGTTCAGTGGTTAGGAGCCTCTGAGTTCAATCTCCAGTACAAAAACAAAAAACAAAACAATAACAACAAAAAACTAGGCTATCAATTAAGGGACTCAGTGAGCAATCCTTTCAAAGGATTAGAGCTAGAAATTTTGATTTTAACCATGGTATAATCTAGTAAAGACAAACATTGATTTAAAAGTACTCAAGTACATTTTATTTAGTTGTAAGTAGGTGTAGGCAGGATAGGTTAGGTATATACTGTGGTAATAATTCCTCCATTTCAGTGTCTTTCACATCATAATTCACTTTTGCTCTTACAGAGTCTACTGGGGTGAGTGGGAAATGTGAGAAATGTGAATGGAGGGAGGGTTCTTCTTCACTCACTCACACAAGGATCCAGGTGGAGGGAGGCGCCACCATCTGGAATGTCCATGGAAAAAGTGACACGAGGGGATCATGGGACTTCTCAGACATCGTTTACTCTAACATTTCATTAGCCAGAATATGAGTCACATGACTCATGTATTTCAAGGGGCCTTGGAAATGTGGTCTTCTGTCCACCACAGACATACCACAGAGTGTGGGTGGTCAAAGGAAACATCTAAACATACTGGCAGCAGATGGAGGGGGCAGGAAGCAGCTTAAGCTAGAAATAAAAAGGGAACATAGCATGTCTGCTCTCTGATAGATTGTTCAATTCTCTGTCTGGGCTGTTTCAGAGTTTGGCTAATACTGAGGAATGAGCGGCATCTTCCAACTGAACAGATAGGATACTCTCTTACCAAGATTCTATTAAGACAAGCCAGTGAGATGCCTCCCAGGAGTCATTTATATCTAATAGTTTCATAAGCAGAGTAAGTCCTCTTCCATGACTGTGTCTCCACCAAGAACTCTTAAGAGCCAAGTTTCTAAAATCAACCTGCAGGAGGGGAGATGGAGTGGAAATATCCTCATACTTCCTTCTCTTTGTTGACAGGGTCTCTTGAGTCTAGGGGTTACACTTAGCCACATGTTATTTTAAGCTGGATGACATTACCCAAGGTAGTTTAATTGTCCTAGCCCCCTGCCCTTAACTCCCAACATAGCAATTCTCTATTCCAAATAAGGAAACAAGAGGCTGAGGAGATCAGGAAAGGAGAAGGGGCAGAGGAAAGTGGCCTACGTGATTACAGAGATAGCACATGCCAGCTGGTGTTCTTTCTTCACAGTCTAGCAACAAATCACTTCCGGTAAGTTGGGTGGAGCTGGATTTATTTGACAATTTTTTTTTAAATTTGACAATGACAATGCTGTCCACAAGCATGGAGTGGACAGAAAAATTGTAGATAAAGAAGAAGATTCTTTCAGCTTTTATATTTTGGAGTAAGAGGAGTGAAAGGAATTCACTGATGATTATATGCATACCTGTAGGTTGAATCACACATAGGAAGCAAGCTTAATGAGGTCTTGGCATTCTTGGTAGAGGACTCTAGAATGAGAATGGCCTATTGGAAGTGTTCCCCCCATCAGGCTAACCTGGCCAGGCTCACTGCCCCCAGTCACTGGATGTAGGCTGCCTTGGAACAGATCTGAACTCACACAAGCACTTTTTTTTTTTTTTTTTTTTGCAGCTGGGAATAAGCTCATCTCTTGAAAGGAGATCTAGGCATCTCCATGTTCACCACAAACTTTGTACCCATAGCACACTCCTTGCTTTGGATTTTCATTTTGAGAGGAACTCCAGAGATCTACCCAGATTTCACAGTTAAACTGAATGGGAACTCCTGCAAATATATCTGTCATGAGTGGAAAGCCTGGAGTGTAATCAGCTTAGTTGTGACCCATTTCCCTCTTACTGGTTAGCTGCTAAGCGGATTTTTTCACTGAAGCCTTTTGTAGGGTATAATGTGTATCATGAGTCTTACAGGAACCCACAAAATTTCAGTGTTCATCTGGAAGTACCCCCAATTAATACAGATGTAGGTATTTCTACTCTTCAGAAATCTATTATTATAGGAAGTGAATTATTGGACACCTATTGTAGGTGGAGAGCTTTATTTACATAATCTTAAAGTTTCCTTGGAACACTATGAGGTGCTTATTAATATTCTCACTTTGCAAATGAAAAATTGAGATTCAAAAAAATCTCAAGACAGATGCACAAGCAAGAAAGAAGACTTCATGGGGGCAGGGTCTATAAGAGTTTGGCTTGCCACAGCTTTCCTTGTAGTGTGTAGCTTAGAGAATATGATAAAGAAATATTTGATAAATGAACAAAGAGTGCCAGAGCAAGTCCCAAGTCATATAGGTCTCATTTTAAAATGTAGCTCTTTCACTTTTAATGTGAAATACATAGCATTCAGGAGAAGTCCAGAAAAAAGAAAAACGTTTGGTTTTATAAGAAAATATAATATTTTTGAATATGGTGGCATGTGCCTGTAATTCCAGCTACTTGAGAAACTGAGGCAGGAGGATCATGAGTTTGAGCCCAGCCTTAGAAACTTAGTGAGATCCTGTCTCAAAACAAAACAAAACAAAAACAACAACAAAAATCTCACCAGCACCACCACCAACAATAAAATACCATCTTGTTTGAAACAACATCATGATGCTTCTCTGACTCTGGTCTTCCTATGGTCAAACTGCAGATGCAGTGGTCTTAATGCATTGGAAGCATGTCTAACTACACCACCAATGTATGGGGGAGAGAACAAATGATTGGAATCATCAAAGAACTACTTTGTTATTTCTTATCTGCTTTCACTTGGAGAAAATGGTTGAAAATGCTGGGATTCAGGAGCCAATTGTGAATGGTGAAATATGAAATGGACCCTGGCCATGAATGAACCCTGATGCTCAGAATAGCATTACCTGCTGGTTTCTCAGACTTTTTTGAAAGAAGCTGAAGGAAGGTAGAACCAGGATGTAATTGGATATCTGGCTTAAGTTTCCAGAACCAGCAACCAGAAAAATGGTGAATTTTCATGCCTTAGTCAAGAGCATAACTCCTTCTGCATGGACTCTGCCTGAGCCTATGATCTGGGCCATAACAGACTTTAGAGCATCCAGGGGCTTTGCTGTTGCTGTGCTGACCTACATCACCATGGATTACCAGTAATAGGATTTGCCACTCGGAAACTGGGACTACGCTTATTCAAAACACACAGCAGTTTCTTACAGAGAAATATGGCTTTGGTTTTCCACTACTTTCTGCTAATTCTGGTCTTTCAGGATACACATGCAGTTCAGCCTTTCTGTCTGCAAGGATGCACCTGCTCAGAGGAGAGTTTTGGCAGGTGCGCTGTCCTGGCAGGATGCCAGAGGGTTATAGGGGATGGACTTTTGTTGGGAATGATATGGAGTGGACACATGCCCAGAATTGGCAGGAAATCAGCAAAATTCCTATGAGATTCACCTTAGTTGGTGTTGGACTTTGTGAGCTGAGTATTTTTACCAATATAGATCTCTATTATTTTAAGCGAATAATATATTTTCATATAATTCACATGTACAATGCAAGGATACACCTGATATCCCTTCCAGCTTTCCTGATGTTCATTTTAAAGCTTTTCTGGTTTCTTGTACAGGACTCTACAATGCATGTCTATCTCTTTGGGAAATATTCCAGAGAACCTTCCTGAAGAGCTCAAGCAAGTAAGAATTGAACACTCACCCATATTTGAACTTTCCCGAGGGCCTTTCGTCAACATGAGCACCTTGGAATACCTTTGGCTCAACTTTAACAATATCACTGTGATCCACTTAGGAGCCCTGGAGCATCTGCCAGAACTGAGAGAGTTGAGACTGCAGGGGAACAAACTCCGTTCAGTACCATGGACAGCGTTCCGTGCCACCCCTTTCCTGAGGGTCTTGGATCTCAAAGGCAACAGGATTGATATACTCCCTGAGCTGGCTCTTCAGTTCCTAGCCAACCTGACCTACCTTGACCTATCCTCCAATAGGCTTACAGTCGTATCCAAAAATGTCTTCTTGAACTGGCCGTCCTACCAGAAATGCCAGCAGCTTCACTGTGGGGCTAAGATTCTCTCCAGCATGGTGCTGGCACTGGACAACAACCCCTGGGTATGTGACTGTCGTCTAAGAGGACTTGTCCAGTTTGTCAAGTCTAATAGCCTTCCAGTCATCCTGGTGAATTCCTACTTGATATGCCAGGACCCTGTCTACAAGGCAGGGCAGCTACTTCATGAGATTAAGCTCAGTGTTTGCATGAAGCCACAGGTCTCAACCCCTAGTGCCAATATTACTGTTCAGGTAGGACAGAATGTGACTCTGCAATGCTTGGCACAGGCCAGCCCCTCACCAACCATCTCATGGAATTATCCCCTGAGCATTTGGAGAAAATTTAATGGTAAGCTACATGGGGTATCTAGGGAGAATGGAGAGGTCTGTAGCAATCCTACATCAATAAAAGAGGTTCTAAAATGTGTTAGTCACGAAGGATGGGTATAGGTAAAATCAGAATAGATCTGAATTACACTCACCAAAATAGAAAAGATTCCAAGACAGTGTTTCATTACCAGCATTATTTTATTTCACTTTACTTTTGCAGAGCAGGGGATCAGAGCCAAGGCCTGTATGCTAGGAAACATTGTAGCATTGAGGTACATCCCAGTCCATTGGCAGTGTTTTAAATGGTTGCATACAGATCTCTCCAGGACATATAGGCATATGGACATAAATAAACATGTTATTTCTGATTTATCATATTGTATACATGTTTTAGAATTGTATATGAATAAATACACTTTTAAGAGCCCTCTAGATGGAAAACAGTGTACTGCAAATTTTACAATCCTAGAATTTTCAACTAGAATTGATTTTATTACTTATTTACTAAACTTGCCTGAAAGGAATCATTTGAGATGCTTGTTTGGAATGAGATTTTTCAATCCCCATGCCCTGGAGATATGAGTTCAGTGAATCCAGGACAGAATATATATTTCAGCAATTGATCTTTCACCCCCTTACCTCTCAGTTAATTGGAAAAGCTGGAAATTCCTAGATACTAACTTAATATTCACTTCTTACTATTGTGTTGGTCAGATTTTATAGCTTAAAATTATAATACTGGGGTACAGGGAGATAAAGTGAATTCCATGGCCCCCAGAACTGGGATTTGAACCTGTCTTTCTTTATTGAAGCTCTAAGCTCTGTTTTCACACTTCAGGTGGAATTCCCTGTAGGGATGTCCATGCCACAAAGCCAGACATGGCTTCCTCAAGGGTATCTTGAAGGTAAAAGGAAATTTGTTGATTTTTACATATTTTTAGGTCTAGGACTAGAAGACTACTTGAAGTATCAAGGTAAAACTCGGGAAATGCAGTTAGTCACCCAGACAGTTGTCATAACATGGTTACATCCTCTAGATGATTAAAAAAATTAACTGATTTTTTTCAGTTTTCCTTATCATTTTGGTCACATCCTGTTAGTTGATGGTTAAATGTTAATGGAGGAGAAATACAGGATTTATCATTCAGTCTTTTTGAAAACCAGTGAAATTCATTTAGAGTTTATCTTTTGTTATTCTGTAAATCACTCTTGGCACTATGCTCTGACTAGTATTCTAGAAATAACAACAGCTAAGACTTATTGAACCCTTATCTTCAAACTTGTGGTGTGCGTGCTATTATCATCCCATTTTATTGCCAAGTAAGTTTAAGCCAAGAGAATTTAAGCACCTTGCCCAGGACCATACAATTAGCAAGGAATAGGGACCCAGAAATTTGACTCCAAACTCTGAGTCACTGCACATTTGGGAGGTAAGAAAGCATTTCTTGGAGCTCACAGTATTGGTCAGTCACACAATTACAAGAAATCTCCTGAAAGCTGTTAAGCTCAGCAAGACTACTGTGGTTGTTGGGGGCAGTTACTGATGTTGAAAGTGTGTGGGCTTCATAGATAGAACTGGGTTTCAGTTTAATTGCTGCTTCTGAACAGCAGCAATCGCTTTCACTGTGGGTAAATTGGTAGATTGATCCAGTCCTCAACATTCTATATGTAAGATTAGGTACCTACAGGGTTTCTGAGAAGTGAACATCTGGCACCAGGTACACACTTAATAAATGATTAGCATCATCTTTTAACAACAACAACAACAAAACCAGCATTGCTAGAACTTTCCAGCTATTTATCAGAAAAATGCACAGCTACTTTTCTCTTTTCTCCACCCAGTGTTGACTTCTTCGACTGCAGAAGATGCTGTTCTGTCCCAGTTGATCATCCCTGCTGCTCACCTGGTAGACAGTGGCAATTACACCTGTGTAGCCTCCAATTTCATTGGCAGGAGCACCCTGGTCATCTCCCTCCATATCCAGCCTGCCCAGGTCCTGCCTGCATCCCATTCTCTTTCCATCTCCCGGGAGGGTAATTCCTACATCGACTTGCGGGTGGTGAAGCAGACCGTGCACGGGATCTTGCTGGAGTGGTTTGCAGTAGCCAACATTTCTGAGGAGTGGTTTACCCTCTATATTACTTCGGATGAAGCCCTCAGAAAAGAAGTGGTCCACATTGGCCCTGGAATCAACACATATGCTGTAGATAACCTCCTCCCCGGCACAAAATATGAGGCATGTCTCAGTCTGGGGAGCCGGCCCCCACACGAGGGCCGGTGTGTCGTCTTTGTGACAGGCAGAGATGGTGGCAGGCTGGAGGACCGCGAACGTCTCCTACACATCTCGGTGGTCCTGTGTGTTTTGCTGCTGGCAGTGCCTGTAGGGGCTTATGTCTGGACAGCCGAGGGCCCCTGCAGCTGCAGAAAGTGGGGCCCGCACTGCTGTCCTCATCCCAGGCGTGCTCTCAGGCCTCCCCCTGCAGTTCCACAGTGCAAGGACAGGTCCTTTAGAGACCATCCAGCTGTCTGTGAGGATGGCGAGGGCCACAGACACACGAAGGGGAATGAGGAGAAAGAAGATGACAGTGGCTAACAACCCAGGTCAAGGGGTGGGAAATGATGTGGACAAAATTTACTACAGCCAAGATTGTGAACAAATTCTGATACTGGATGGGCACAGCAACCACAGCAAGGAAGGCCAGTGTCTGCCTATTTGAGGAAACTGGGATCAGTCCTTTTTTGGGTAGTGCTTTGTTGCCTGCCAAGGGGTGATGTGGGGCTAATCCAATCCCTAAAACCAACCCTCCATGGCAGCTCAGCTGAGCTCCATCCATTTATTCAAGTATTGTTGAGCACCTACAGTGTTCCAGGAACGGAACTTGACAGAGTGGGTTCAACAGTGAAAATGAGGACACAGTCTTTATCTTCATGGAGCTAAGGCCATGTTTACATGTAATATTTACACGTAACATTTTGCATATATTATTCTGTAAAGGTAGGTAGTTATCCCCTTTTATAGGGAAAGAAACTTAAACTTGGAAAGTTCAATGATTTATGAGGCTGATTCTCCTTACATTGGCCACTGGGTTCACTCAATACCAGAATTTTCTGATAATCAGTGTTGGTTGGAATAATTAAAAACATTTTTTTTTGTGGTGCTGAAGATTGTACCCATAGCCTTATATGTATTAGGCTGTGGAACTATATAACCAGTCCTTTTTACTTTGTATTTTGAAACAAGATCTCACTAAGTGGCTCAGACTGACCTTGAACTTGTGATCCTCCTGCCTCAAGCTCCTAAGTACCTGGGATTACAGGTGTGCACCACTGTGCCCAGCTTAAAATAAATTTAAAACCAAGACAACACTCATATTCAGATCAATTGTTCATCATTCCTTCAGGTCCTTCTCACTTATTCTTTTAGCCACTAGAAGAAAAAACAATTTTTAATGGGAATTTACAGTCATATCAAAAGTAGAGAGAATCTCATTCCTTCCCATCTGTCAGCTTCAACAAGTTTTAACATTTTCTGGTCTTATTTCATCTGGTCCTTACCCTCAACCTTTTTTTATTTTATTTTTTGGGGGATTTTAAAATATTTTAAAGTAAATACAAGCTTCCCACCTACTTATATGTAAATATTTTAGTTTTGTTCTCTAATAAATAAATTAAGTTCTTAAAAAACACAAGACAACACTATTATTGTTCCTTAGAATGTATATTTTTTTAAAAAATGCATATACACTTAGATATGTGCATGTGCACAATAACACATATATATATATAATAGAGAATTTCTTTATAATAAATTTCATATGGTAATTTTTATAGGACTTTTTCTTTTCTCTGAGTATATATAAATTAAAATTCTATTTCCAAAAAATTATAATTTAGTGCATTATAACTATGTGTAATAGTGAGATTCATTATGCCATATTTGTACATGTGTATAACATAATTTGATCGATCTCATTCTCCAGCACATTTCCTTTCCCTCCTTTCTTCCATACCAGATCCACTTGCTCTACTCTACTGATATCCCTACTACTATTATTATTATTATTTCAATTAGTGCATTATAATTTTTTATATATATATATACACACACACACACACATATATCAATGAGATTCATTGGAGTATATTTATACATGGACATATTATACTTTGATAGATTTTGTTTCTCAGTAGTTTTTCATGTCCCCTCATTCCCTTCCTCTACACTATTGGTCTCCCTTCTATGGTCTCCCTTCTATTTCCCTGAGACTCCTGTGGTATATTTCAAAGGTAAGTGGCTGAAGTGAGGCAGGTACTTGTATTTGTATTGGCCTCTGAGTATTTCCTTCCACAGGACCGAGGATTCAGCCATCATGAAATAGCTTGGTGCAACCATGAAGGCGAGAATGGACGCTCTGATTTTCCTCTGCCAAAGGATGCTTGGAGGTGGGGCATGGAACAGGGTGGGCAGGAGGAAGGAAGGGGCATGGAAGAGGAGTAAACCTGGAAGTGGGTTGGAAGCATGTTGGTCAGAAGCTGTGTTCAGCTGCTCCTGTGAATATGGACATTTAGGGAAGAGGAATCTGGTCTAGAGTGGATTTCTGGGAATACCATCCTTTTGAAGATCTGTGGGGAGCCTCTTAAAAAGTTCTAGAATGAATTGGGTGTGGGGTACACACCTGTAATCCCAGCAGCTCAGCAGGCTGAGGCAGGAGGATCGCAAATTCAAAGCCAGCCTCAGCAACTTAGCAAGGTCCTAAGCAACTTAGTGAGACCCTGTCCCAAAATAAAAAATAAAAAGGGCTGGGAATGTGGCTCAGTAGTCAAACCTCTAGGTTTAATCCCAGTACCAAAAAAAAAAAAAAAGAATCCTAAAGATTCATATTATTGACAGTCCCAGATGGTTCAATTTAGGATTTTTCTACTTAGCAATGATGCAAAAGTGATATGCATTCAGTAAAAATCAAACTTCAGTTGGGAATTTTTATCTTTTTCTGGATAAGCAATATACAGCATGGAGATGTTACAGCAAGACACAGCTCTCAGCCCATTAGGTGATCACAAGGGAACAACCACTGATACTCTACTGTACAGTGATGCAAAGCTACGATGTTCAGTAAGTTAGGTGTGTTAAATGCATTTTTGGCTTACAATGATTTCAACTTAACATGGATTTATTTGGATAAAACTCCATAGGTCAAGGAGTATCCGTACATGTAATGTCATGATACCTATGCTAATATCCCTCACCTTTTCTGTACGATTCATGTTTGAAGGATGTTATAGTTTTAGATCCATTTGTCATGCTCTTGGGGGAGAGTATGCATTTAGAGTTTAGAACATGTAATTTTAAGACAGGAGGCATTTATAAGTAGGGCTACTGGTTTTTAGAATAGAGCTATCTCTAGACCTAGGGTTCTGCTATCAGCAACTTGCAGAAGGAATTTTGTTCTTTTCCTCTTTTCTTCTGTCTTATTAGAACCTGTCCACCTTACACCTAGATTAGGGCCCAGCATAGATGATAAGACTAAGAGCATGTGTTTCCACAGGAATGATTGAGTGAATTACTAAGTACTGGATAAGTGACAGGCCCTCATTTAGCAAAAGAAGTGCACTGGCATGATTTCATGTCACATGAATGTTCCCAGCATCACCCTGTTGCTAATCCACTTTATTAATCATATTATGGTGGCTCATGCCACAACCACCTCATTCTGGAATCCAGACCTTTCAGAACACCTCTGTCTCCTAAAAGAACCTCTTTGTGTCCACATGCCAATCTGCCTGCTGTAGTCCTCATGCAACATCATCTTCATTATCCCTGTTAACCCATCCTCATCTAGAAACCCTGAAGACTGTCAGAGAAGTGTTGCTGCCTGTTAGTAGCCAGCACTCTGGATTCTTTGAAGCCTCTGTTCTGTTGTGTGTGATGGCATGGATCTATAGTCTCAGCTGTTCAGGAATCCTTGAACACATGAGTTCAAGAGAAGCTTGGTCAATATAGCTAGGCCCCATTTTTTTAAAGAAAGAAAGAAAGAAGGAAAGAAAGAAAGAGAGAGAGAAGAAAGAAAGAAAGAAAGAAAGAAAGAAAGAAAGAAAGAAAGAAAGAAAGAAAGAAAGAAAATATTCTGCTCTCAAAGAGATACAGAATCCCTGACGTCCTTGGAGAAGCAGGGGCAGAAGATTTACCACACTTTTCCAGCTGGGTTCTGCACTGGGACAGAGTACCAAAGTTATCTTAGGGACAGCTCATCAGTTCTGTCCTCCCTTGGAATAAGGAGGCCCAAATGCAAGCTGCAAGTTGCAGCTTACAGAGGCCCAGCTCTCTTCTACTTCCATCTGTCTTCTCTTCTCCCAGTACATAGGGGAGGATTCCAGGCCTATTAATGGGTAGAAACACGCTCAGGAAGGTCTGCTTGGAGAAGCCCTCTCCCCCAGGAAATGTGCCCTCCTAGGTGGGCCACAGTGAGCTATCCTCAAATATTCTCTTCTACAACTAAAAATAGCAACTGTCTACTGAGCTGTGACAGTAGCTACAAAGCTGGTGCCAGGTCCTTTAAATATATTAGTTCTTGTCATTATCACAGCAATAAGCTTATGTTGTCACATTTAAGTGGCAGAATCTGAATTCAGACCAAGGGCTGTCAAACTGTAAAAGCACTTTATTTTTCATATAACGAGAAAGGCTGAGCTCAGCCACAGGGAAGGAAAAATAACTACAGATTTCTTCAGGTAGTGTCTATTGATTGTCCATGGAGCTAATGCTTCATTCTTATAGTCCAAGAGTGGAAGGCCCTCCCCAGATGCTGTACCTGCCCTCTCAGCTCTTTCCCTACAGACCTAGCATTGTACCAGCTTGTAGATCTGGGCCTTTCTTGATGTGACTGAGCAAGGAGCCCCTCACCCTGCTGTTCCTTAAATCAGTTCCTTACCCTCAGTGGCAGGGTCTACCTTAGTGCTGAATATATTCACTGGTCTCTTCAGTTAAGCTGTCCCCTCCTTCTCTGTCCCAATGTGGCTCATGCTGGCTACTTGGCCCTTTCTCCTTCCATGGCCAGTTCCAAAATCGACTCTGCTTTGGTTCAAGTTTCTGGGCTTGTCTTGGAGCCCGACTCCCTTCCAGAACCCATCTGCTATCCTGAGCTCCCAGTTCAGAGGTCTTAGCAACCATCATTCCAGAGATTAACTGCTTTCCCAGCTTTCCCACCCATGCCAAACATCCCAATTCCTGCCCTTGCTGGACTGCACTGAGATAGTTACTTCTAGCCCCAGATCTCCTTCTTTCCCAAGCAACCCTGCCTGAGTGTGTCTTACTTAGGGAAAAAGCCCAATCCAAGTCCTGGATGAGGGGATCAGGTAGACAAGTCTGCAGAGGTGCTCCTATTTGAGGTGCATGCAGGCAATTTGGACAAAAATTTGAAGCCTCCCTCAGTTGGGGGTCAGGTTGGCTATACCCACTGAAGGAGCCAGGAGGCAGGCTGAGCTTGTCTGTGAGTCAGGAAGACTGGTCTCCACAAGTCCATGAACACAAATGTAAGCAGGGGCGGGAGGTCAGATTGCGTAGAGTTATTAGACTTTTATTTACCATTTACAAAAGAGATTGACCGCATGCATGTTGTAAGGATGCTGTATTCCCTGCGATGAGCAGACATGATCCCACCCAGCCCTCTCCTGAAAAGTCT